GTTGACCAGCTGGTGGATTTCGATGATAATTATAAGGTGAGTGGAATGGGCAAGGCAATAGATAAATATCTACAGAGTCCGAACGAGACACAGCAATGGAAAAATCCATATAATTTTTTCGAAAATACTAAACTCCTTACTAAGAAGCAATATGAGGAGAAAAAAGTGAATCCGTAAAAAAAAAATGTCATTCCAAATTAATGGAATGGTGGGTTGCTTTCGTATTCACTTCCAGAACACGAAAGATCCTTGAGTCCACAGTACTATCTCAATAAACGACATATTTTATTGCCACTCCATTTTTAGATAACCTTCGACATCTCCCATTCCGACGAACAGGATGGTGAATACAAGACAGTGTTGAGCACCCCACAAAAGGGCATATGCGAAGTAATGCAAACACATTATAAGAAATTCTTTTACGAAAGTCTCAAGGAACATTGTAATGCTCCCGATCCGGATGTATGCCCCGTGACCAAGGAGAAATACGAAGTCAAAGATTATCCATTGGATTCATCGAAATTTCAAAATTATTTACGTCCTGGTTTCTATCGTGTTGTGGCTACGGTACTGCACAACGAAGAGGAAGTACTAAAGTATCGTGTCGAATCCCACACGGAGGAGGAGGCGTGAATGAAATGAAATAATTTCAAATTTTGTTTCTTTTTTTATTTTCAAAATAAAAATCTAAAGGGGAGCCACACCAGAAAAATATATTTTTTTTTTGAATACTTTTTTCAAGGACTGACAGGACTATAATCGTTGATTTTGTAGGAATCTGTTCTGAAAGACTAAGTTTTTTATATTTTCTGAAGGACTAACAGGACTATAGTTGTGGATTTTTTTTAATAATATTCTAAAAGACTAAAAGGACCGTAATCCTGGATTTTTGAGACTATGCCGATGGGCTAACTGTGGACTTTTTAATAACATATTATGAAGGACTAACAGGATTTTTAAAAATATTTTCTAACATTCTAACAGGACTATAATTCGCAATTTTTTTTCTAAAGGACATTCAAAGCTATAATTTAGGATTTTTAAAGAATTTTTTTTTGAAGGATCAGCAGAGCTATAATCGTGGATTTTTAAAGAATATATTCTGAAGGACCTTCAAAGCTATAATCGTGAAATTTAAAGATATTTGTTGAAGGATCACAAGGACTAAAATCGTGGCTATAATCATGGACTTTAAAATAATATTTTCTGAAGGAACTTTTTTATGGAACATTCAAAGACCATTTTTTATGGACCGGCAGACAAAACATTGTTGGATTTTAAAAAATAATCTTCAGGGGACAAATTGGCCAAAGGATTAACAGGACTATAATTGTGGACTTTTTTAAAAATATTTTCTAAGGGACTAATTTTTTTAAGACGATGACGATGGACAACCTTATATTTTTAAATAATATTTTATGAAGGACTAACAAGTTTAAAATCGTGGATTTTTAAAAATATTTTCTAAAGGACTAACAGGAAGTTTTTTCTGATGTACATTCAGAGCTGTAATTGTGGATTTTTAAAGAATGTATTTTGAAGGATCAGCAGAGCTATAATCGTGGATTTTTAAAGAATATATTCTGAAGGACCTTTAAAGCTATAATCGTGAAATTTTAAAGAATCTCTTCTGGACCAAATAGATTAAAATCGTAGGTATAATCATGGACTTTAAAGAATATTTTCTGAAGGATCAACAGATCTATATTCATGGACCTTCGTGGATTTTTAAAAAATATTCTTCAAGGGCCAAAGATTAACAGAACTATAATTGTGGACCTTTTTAGGAATATTTTCTAAAGGACTAATTTTTTAAAGACGATTACGATGGTCGGCGATGTATTTGTAAATAATATTTTATGAAGAACTATAATCGTGGATTTTTAAAAACATTTTTTAAAGGACTAACAGGACTATAATCGGGAAAGTTTTTCTGAAGGACCATCAGGACAGTAGTTGTCGATCATTAAAGAATATCTTTTGAAGAATCAGCAGAACTTTGATCGTGGTTTTTTAAAGAATATTTTCTGAAGGACCACAAGACTAAAATCATGGATATAATCATGAATTTTAACGATCGACAGACCAAACATCGTGGTTTTTAAAGGATATTTTTCAAGGAACAATCGTGAATTTTTCAAAAATATATTTTTCAAGGCCATTTAAAAAAAATTAAGGACCAACAGAAAAGTAATCATTGATTTTTTAAGATTTTTTTCAAGGACAACCAGACCAATAGCCGTTAATTGTTTAAAAATATTCCTTCAAGGACCAACACACCAATAATCATGATTTTTTTAAAGAATATTTTTGAAGGAACAAGAGATCAAAAATTGCGCTCCTTTTTAATTATTTTTTTTTATTTGAAGGGCCAATAGATTTTTTAAGATTTTTTTTTTCAAGGACAAACAAAAAAAACTTCGTGATTTTATTATTTTTTTTTTATTTTGAGAACCAACAATTTTTCAAGGTCAATAATAGTGGATTTTTAAATAATGTTTTTCAAGGATTAACAGATCTATAATCGTGTAATGTTCATAGAATATTTTAAAGGACCAACAGACCAAAATCGTTTCAAGATTCTCAATAATCGTGGAGAGAGTCATCAGAGCCCCAATTGCGGATTTTAAGAAATATTTTTTAAAGAGCCATCAGAGTCGATTTTTAAGGACCTCAATCGTGGATTTAAAAAAATCAAGACCCCCAATCGTAGATATTTAAAAAATATTTTTTCCAAGACTCGTTGATGCGAAATCATAAATGTTGGTTTGGTTGAGAGAAATATTTAGAAATAGCAAGTTTTCAGGAATCGCTAACTTGTTTCGTAAGATATGACCACAAAAAAATATTGAAAATTGTGACCTTTTGTGTGTGAGGTACCTGAAGGGGTTGGAAGATATCAATCATCTCCACAACAGATTTTGCGTTAGCAAAAATATTTGGATGTTTGAAATTTGAAGAGAGTTGGATGCTTATTTCGAGTTTCATGAGCGTTTTGTTTTTTTTAAATCTTGGACCCTAAGCGGGGGAGGTACCAGTAGAAATGACCCGATCTGTACCATCTTTATAACAGATATTGTGTCAATGGAAATATTGAGATGTACCAAATCTGAATGGAATCGGATGTTAATTTCGCGTTTTATAATCTTAATGGATATTCAAACCTTTGTGGGGGAGGTATCAGAAGGAGAGCAGCGATATATTTCATCTTCATCCCAGACATTGGGTTAGTAAAAATATTGTGATGTCTGTAATTTGAAGAGAACCAGATGCTTATTTTGGATTTTATGATCGTTTTAGTTTGGGGGAGGTACCAGAAGGAATGTTCCGATGTCTACCATCTTTATAACAGATCTTATGTTTATGGAAATATTGAGATGTGCCAAGTTTGAATGGAATAGGATGTTACTTTAGTGTTTTATGAGCCTAATGAATATTCTAAATTTTGACCCTTTGTGGGAGAGGTACCAGAAGGAGTGGACCGATATATTTCATCATCACACTAGGCTTTAGGTTAATAAAAATTTTGGGATGTGTGAAATTTGAAGACAGCGGACTCTTACATCACTCTCTTTGGACCAAATCCGTTTCAGGACATTTGGAGTCGATGCAGCGATGTCCGTCCGTCTGTCAGTCTGGCTGGCTGGCTGGTGCGCACTATAACTCTCGAAGGGAGTATCCGATTTGGTCCAAACTTGGTACATCGTAATATTTTTGTCAAACTTAGATCGAGTTCGGAGATGGGCAATATCTGTCCACTCCTTCTGGTACCTCTCCCACAATAGTTCGACATTTTCAAAAAAATATATTTTCTGCACGGAAAGAGAAACGATAATCCGATTTTGCTCCAACTTTGCAAATCCAAATACTTTCGTCAGTGCTAGGCCAGGTGCGAAAACTGACAATATCGGTTCAATCTATCAAGTACCTCCTCCATTATTTCTACTAACACACGATCTGTTGTGAAGATGGGATACATCGGTCCTCTCCTTCTGGTACCTCCCCCACAAATATCCATGGAGCTCATAAAACGCGAAATTAACATCCGATTCCATTCAGACTTGGCGCATCTCAATATTTCCATCAACACAAGGTCTCTTATAAAGATTGTAGAAATCAGACCATTTCTTCTGGTACCTAACAAAAATTAAAAAAAATAAATTCCCCGGTTATTCAGTAATCCACGATTGTGTATCGACATCCAGGTCCTTCTGAAAGTATGAAAACAATTATAAATATTGATATGTATTTACTAAAAATCTAAGATTATTACCTATTGGTCCTTCAGAAGATATTCTTAAAAAAATGCCTATTGTGGCTCTATGTGTTATTTAGAAATTACAAGATTATAGTGTTGGGGCAACCCACATTAACAATATGGCATCTCATGTTGCAACATCCTATACGGCAACGCCCACATAATAGGACGCCGTGCTACCGCCATTTTAGCTTGCTCAGTCTTGTTTTGTCTGTCACTCGAGTCTGACTCACTACATTATAACTTCTTCATTCTTTTTAAATTAGTAGCTGTGAACGCTCATCATCCAATAAATCTTTACACCTTTAGTATTAACAAACATTGGCTTTTATTTCAAACCATAAAAGCACAACATATAGTTTCGACGATCCTTCCGAAAATGTTTTGCCAACATGCTATACCATAACGGAATAAGTTTTAATAATATATACATATTTTTTTTATTTTACGTTTTATTATTTTTTTTTATTATATTTTACGTTAATTATTTATTTCTATTTAATTGCAATCAAGGTATTTTTTGTAAGGCCAGGCAATTGTTATGATAAATTTGAGCTTAATTTGTTTATATAAAGCTAAACAACAAAGATAACGAAGGAAGAAAAGATTCTGTAAGAGAAATGAGAAAAGCAAACTTCACAAGTTCGCACAGTTGTTACTAATATAAGGTGTAAATTCGTGTGACCAATTCTCTTCCCACAAAGCTTAAAATTGGTGAACCAAATAAAAAAGGCACATTTCGTCGTAGATCAATTTTAAAATCAAAGAATTTCAACAAAAAATATAACTTATATTTTGTAAACAAAACATTGTATTGAATAAAAAAACACAGTTTTATATAATTTAACACTAAGTCCCAAGATGAGCAAAGGCTACCGCTTGTACAAAGGTAGTTTGTCTTTTTTCCAACATTCATGCAATACTTGTCTTTTTTCACACATAGAACCTCATCATCGTGATTATCATCATCACAACTACGCCTGATGTGTCGACGATGATTCACTGGAATCTGAGGAACCAACTATGCTCTGCATACTTGGCTCGGATTCCGAACGTTTATGGGTACGCCTTCGAATTTGTTGGGTTGCTGTCACCTTTGTTGTGGTAATACTCGACGTGGGTGTAGTATTAACACTTGACGATTGACTGATCTGCAGATCAGGTTCACTGCGTGCCAAAGCCTCTTCTACAAAACCAGTTGTAGTTGATGTATTCGTGTCCAGGACATGTTCATTCAAGCAAACATCATCTAAATCCACATCACTGTTGGAAAATAAAGCTGTTGCACCCAATTCCAGTGAGCTTTTCACATCTAACTCAATGTCATTGTGTGTAATGTTAATTATTGCACCCTTGGAGGTGGGTGATGTTGTAATGGCGGTTGCTTTGTTTAAGACACTTGGAGCACTGTTACAGGCCGTTGTATTGTTATTGGAATTATTGTTTTTATTGTGACTCTGTTTTGGCGTGGACGTTGTTGAAGACATCGTGGATGATAAATCAGTCGTAATGGATCTTTGTAAGGGGAAATTAAAGCTACTTCCAGAATTATTTCCACTTCCAGCTACTCCGGCACTAACACTTCCTCCACCGCCCGAACCCGCAACACTACTATGTGAAGAAGGATGTGTGGGGGATGTGGCCACATCTGTACGATGACGATTTAGAATTGGTGAAGATGATGCCAAAACCGATGAGCCCACCAAACTTGCCGACCCCGGCTTCGTTGTGGCGCCCACTGGTGGCACATTTGTCATGGAACTCGGTGTCGATGTATTACATTTCTCATCCTGATGTTCTTTCATCAATTTACATGCCTTACCCAAGGCACAAATTGTCAAAGCAATTCTCATACCCAAGGCAAATAGATAAGCCAACGAAAATAATATCCATGCCGCCAAATTATTAAATGACACCGCCGAATAGATGGCCTTAATCAATACCACTGCCAGCGGGAATGGTATAAAACCCATACGCCGTGCCACCAAATCTGAGTGATCGGAAAATGCATGCTTCTGCCTTGTCTGTGTCATATCATATGCCAAGCTAGTGGTATACTCGCGATAAATGCATTCTGGTAACTCATTAAATCTCGTAATGAAAGCATGCTTGATCCAATCGATAAGAATTTCGGTAATTAAAACTGAAAAACAATCGGGTAACATTACACAGAATTGTGTTATACTCCAATCGAATTCTTTCATTGTTTGTATCATAACAATGAACAGCAGGACGGAGAGATGGAAACGTTCGCGCACATCACTGCATGTCAACTGGAAGAGGTTGTTCTTATCGAATTTCTTGAATACGGAACCCTTCAGCTCTACGAAATTGTTGGATATCATAATGGTCAGGAGGCCCTTGTTGTTCGAATTGACAGCTACATTTAGTGTGGTGGCCTGAAAAGGAGGAGAGAGCTTTGCATTAAATATGGAATTCAAAAAATAGGACGAATAAGGAAAAGTCAAAAGTCGGGCGGGGCCGACTATATGATACCCTACACCACTATGCATCTCCACACAGTTCGATATATCGTGTTATATGAGGTCAACAGGTCCCAAGTCCTGAAGGCTAGCACCTTGGGATCTTTTTCCTACTTTTCAATTTATCGCAGATAGCTGTGGCATGTGTGGACTATTTGAACATACTGTCCAATGAGACCCCAAGGATGTAGAGATATATCCTCCACAGACGTGAAGGTCTTTTCACATATGACGTAAAGTTCTTTTCACAGACAACGTGAAGGTCTTTTCACAGAAGACGTGAAGGTGTTCTCACAGAAGATGTGAAGGACTTCTGACAGAAGACGTGAAGGTCTTCTCACAGAAGACGTAAAGGTCCTCTCACAGAAGACTTGGAGGTCTCTCATAAAAGACGTGAAGGTCTTCTCTTAGAAGACGTGAAGGTCTTCTCTTAGAAGACGCGAAGGTCTTCTCTTAGAAGACGCGAAGGTCTTCTCTTAGAAGACGTGAAGGTCTTCTCATAGAAGACGTGAAGGTCTTCTCATAGAAGACGTGAAGGTCTTCTCATAGAAGACGTGAAGGTCTTCTCATAGAAGACGTGAAGGTCTTCTCATAGAAGACGTGAAGGTCTTCTCATAGAAGACGTGAAGGTCTTCTCATAGAAGACGTGAAGGTCTTCTCATAGAAGACGTGAAGGTCTTCTCATAGAAGACGTGAAGGTCTTCTCATAGAAGATGTGAAGGTCTTCTCATAGAAGACGTGAAGGCCTTCGCTTAGAAGACGTAAATGGTCTTCGCATAGAAGACGTGAAGGTCTTCTCATAGAAGACGTGTAGGTCTTCTCATAGAAGACGTGTAGGTCTTCTCATAGAAGACGTGAAGGCCTTCTCATAGAAGACGTGAAGGCCTTCGCATAGAAGACGTGAAGGTCTTCGCCTAGAAGACGTGAAGGTCTTCGCCTAGAAGACGTGAAGGTCTTCGCCTAGAAGACGTGAAGGTCTTCGCCTAGAAGACGTGAAGGTCTTCGCCTAGAAGACGTGAAGGTCTTCGCCTAGAAGACGTGAAGGTCTTCGCCTAGAAGACGTGAAGGTCTTCGCCTAGAAGACGTGAAGGTCTTCGCCTAGAAGACGTGAAGGTCTTCGCCTAGAAGACGTGAAGGTCTTCGCCTAGAAGACGTGAAGGTCTTCGCCTAGAAGACGTGAAGGTCTTCGCCTAGAAGACGTGAAGGTCTTCGCCTAGAAGACGTGAAGGTCTTCGCCTAGAAGACGTGAAGTTCTTCGACTAGAAGACGTAAAGGTCTTCGCCTAGAAGACGTAAAGGTCTTCGCCTAGAAGACGTAAAGGTCTTCGCCTAGAAGACGTAAAGGTCTTCGCCTAGAAGACGTGAAGGTCTTCGCCTAGAAGACGTGAAGGTCTTCTCATAGAAGACGTGAAGGTCTAATCATAGAAGACGTGAAGGTCTTCTCATAGAAGACGTGAAGAGACCTTGGTGGGTCTGTAATGATTACGTCAAGGAGACGGAATAACAACCTCAATTTATTCTTTCAGGGTGGAAAATAAAAAAAGAGAGAAAATTAGAATCAAAATTTAATTTTCACCACTCACCTGAAACATAATCAAGAAGCTATGCAGCACAACATAGATCAGGGCAAACAATATATGAGTGATAAGGCCAAAATGTTCACGTTTGGAATTCTTCGGTTCGGTTGCTGTCCAAAACAGGGCGTCTATGGTATCCTGACCAAATGCCGACAGCAGACGATCGCCCACCTCCAACATATTATAAAATAAATACAATTTAATTATCGATTGGCTTTTTATGATGTGATACACTCGATTTGTATCGACAGATAACATTAACAGTGTCACGGCAATCCATATCGACCCCTTTAGTAGATCACATATTTCAGCGGGTGTCAGCAGACGTTGTTTTCTCCTTCGCAAACCCAAACAGCTGGCAATCGGCCGTGTCAACATACCCCATACGGCCAATGTAAATCTTACCGGCAGGAAGGTGTGAATATACAGAAATGAATCGGCACATTGCATTATGCCGTATACCATGAAACGTTCCAAATCTCGGGGTATACGCATAAAGGAATAGATTTTCTTACGCCTCGCCGTATACCTTTCTTCATCATGCTCCAGCAAATAACCACGGGTCATTTCCAATTTGAAGAAATCCATGAATGAAGGATATTCTGATTGGGGAGAGAAAAAACAAAACGCCTTTGCTTTACTCTTTTTCTAATGAAAAATCTATGCCAAATACACAGCAGCCAGGCAGCCGGCAGACAGACACCACCACAGCCAACCCAACTGCCAAGAAAAGAAAACTCTAACAGGTTTCTTTGTCAACATACCCTCTTCCTCCTCTTCGGCTACTGCCTTTTTCTCTTTGGTTGATTTAATATCACTGTTTTCTTTGCTAGTACTCCCACTAGAACGTTTATGAATACCATCTACCACTTCTGCCGCCACCGCCGCATCCACATCCTTCAGTAGTTTCCGTTCATCATCATCAACATCTCCACCGATGTCATCTATGCGATTTGTAGTTGCATCGCCACGAAATCTAAGCTTTTTTGATGCCATTTCGAATAGATTTCACATTGAAATTAAGAATTTTCTACGTAGCATTTGCAATAAATTTTAATAAATTCGCAAATTCGTGTAAATTTGAAGAAGTTTTACAGCAATTTTCCGAAAATCGAATTTATTTTATTTATTTACTCTGTGGATTGGTTTCTATGGTTGGCATCTCTGAGAGAGATATGGTTGGCAGCTCTTAAAGAAAAATAAGAGTTGGGGCAGATGGCGATAAAGATGTAGAATCAAAACAAAAAGGCCGACTTACGAAGATTGGAAAACAAACTGTGTGATAAGGGGTTAAAGGTTCGATACGAACGAATGGGAGAAAAGAAAATAGAAAAAAACAGCTGTTTCAAATGAGTAATACTTCATTCACAATAAACACAATCAATTGCGCTACTGTGAATGGCAAAACAGTGCTTTGAGTTAACCAAATAACGTGCGTTTGCCCTAATTGAACCAATGTACTCGGTCGCCGTTTCTCACCACTCAAGTAAAACAATTTTATTTATGCATGGTAGAAGAATGTCAAAAATCATAAAATGTTTTTACAAAAATAAGAAGATTTCTGTAAGTTTTCCTATACGACACCAATCGGAGATTGCTATGACATGCATTTTTCAACAATTTTTACAAACTTGAATAATTTTTCATTCAAAACTATCAATTTTAAAATTGGTTTGACAGATAATTGTTCCAGCAGCTGCGTCAATGCGACTACCTACATTCTTCTACCATGGTAGAAGCTGGCTTCTTTGTAGATGAACAAAGGAGTTTTAGGTTGACCTAGTTCGATTTTGGCCCTAGGCTCCTTTGTTCATTTCCGAAGAAGCCAGCCGATGACTTAAGCTGGGAATACATAAAGCGCTTATTTGGATGGCTTAAGTCATCGGCTGGCTTCTTCGGAAATGAACAAAGGAGCCTAGGGCCAAAATCGAACTAGGTCAACCTAAAACTCCTTTGTTCATCTACGAAGAAGCCAGCCGATGACTTAAGCCAGCCAAATATGCGCTTTATGTATTTCCAGCCTTAAGCCAGCATATTTGGCTGGCTTCTTCGTAGATGAACAATGGAGTTTTAGGTTGACCTAGTTCGATTTTGGCCCTAGGCTCCTTTTTTTTTCTAGGCTCCTTTTAGTTTTCTGCGTGGTACAATAAAAAGGTAAGGTAGAGCTTCCAGTTAATTAAAATTTTTTTCTGAGTGTGCCCGACTTCTGCCAGTTTTGTGTATATATTTATTGTTTTGAAAAAGAAAAACAAAATATTTTCAAAATTGGAGGAAATATAAATTGCGGGGCGCGCATTAATGATATTAACCAGGATTGCCACGGAATCGAAAGATTGAACCCTTAGGATCATATTTTTGAAAGAACATCCAGGCATTTCATTCATGTTTCTTTCACATCCTTGCAGTTCTGGCCAACTGGAAACGTACGTCCCGAAACTAACTCCATTTGGGCTGATATTAGCCATTATTTGCACAATAAACCTGAAATCGGATTAGGAATATATATGGGAGCCATATCCAAATCTGAACAGATCTTGATTAAATTTGGCAGAGGTATTTCTGGGCTGTATCTGATACCAAATATCATTCTTGTGGAGTGTATATTACGAATTTGAAAAAATGGCAAGCACATGATTGCATGACTTTTCCTTCTTAATTCTATCATGAGCCATCCAAATAAAAGCCAGTAAACCTTTTGTACATTTTCAAACATTTAAGTTGTGTTCCAGTACTTTTTTAGTAGTAAAACTAGCAGAAGAGAGAACAGTTCGAAATGTCATTCTCAATTAGGTGTGCTCAAAAAATAAGGGAACGGAAAATTAGCAGAAATGCGATAAAGTGTCAAAATTCCAAGAGTAAACAGTCCAAATCGGACTGGTGAAACCTTACTGAAACGGACGCCAAAATTTAAAAAAAAATAGTATTGAAGACGATACGTTAAAATTAATAATCTATAATAATTATTAATAATCTGATTCATCATTCAGCCAGTCCTTTTCACTACTGGAATCAGCCAAAAGTGCTCCATATTTTCCCTTTTTTTTTTTTTTTTTGCACTACAAATAGTTGTGTTCCAGAACCTGCAAATTAGTACTAATTAGCACTAATTCTGCTACAACGCGTTCCCGTACTCCAAAAACTAGCAAAACTTGCAGCTCTCTCGAGAAAAAATGGCGCTAAGTGGTGCACATTTCTGCTTGTTTTAGCTACATGAATTTGGCCGAGCAGAAATGTGCATATTGTAAATTTGACATTTAATTGGCAGGGCTAACAAGGTTGAAAAATGTATTGATACATTTCAATGTTCCCGCGTCATAACAAAAATAAAGAAATCAGTCGCTACTCAACAACTGTTGATGCTAGACTGCGCTTTTACTTTCGTTTCGCTTTGCGCTGCAAAAACAACATATACACAAAAACATATCAACAAAACGAACACAAACACACTTTTGTTTTGCTGAATATATAAGACATTTTAAAATCTTTTTTTTTTCTCATTGAAAACTAATTTAAAAGCCATTTAAATATATAGTGCTTCAAAAATGGATGCGGATGGGGATCCGCCACCCCAACCAAAACCACTTTGGGACCCCAACAAACGCCGTGCAAATATAATTGCAAATCTAAACAAAAAATTTATAAACAATGATGGTGAACCTATTAGTACAAATATGTCTCAGGCTTCATCCAATGAGTCGGAATCTTCCCAAAAGTTTGAATCAATCTATAATGCCACGAAGGCAAACACTTTTTACCCACAACACCACCCAGGGCCTTTTTACGTTATGGTCACGTCAGAGACTCCTATAAGTTCCAGGAGGAAAAACTGTGAACTACATTTATATGTCCTTTTGCAAAAAATTAATATGCCAACTACATATGTTTGCAAAAACGTTGGCTACAATACTTTCCGTCTTACCTTCAACAACTGCAATTTGGCAAATTCATTTGCACAAAACAAAAGACTGCAAGAAGTTGGCCTGAAAGCCGAAATTCCTGAGAGATTTATCCAAAAATTTTACGTAATCAAAAATGTTCCTAAGTCAATTGATGGTATAACCATTAAAAATTCTATTGAAGAGAATAATGATATAGATGTGATATCGGTCTACCGATTCACCAGAAAAAACGAAAATGATTTAATCGAAGAAACTGAAACCATAAAAGTAGGAATCATATGCGATGGTGTTCCTCAGTACATTTTTATGTGTGGTACTAGAGTCATACCCGATCTATATGTTCCCCCCGTACGTCTGTGCAAAAATTGTGGTCGTCTTGGTCACATTGCTGTGCGTTGCAAGTCTACCAAACGTTGCCTTGACTGTGGCAAGTTAATTATTTGCCCAAATCAATGCAAGGAGCAAAAATGTAAGGAATGCCTTTCTACGATTAAATGCAAAGAAGTATGTGATTCAACTAAATGCATTTTATGCAATAGTGTTGATCACAACGCTATGGACGACAAAATATGTCCAAGATGGAAAACCGAAAGGAGTATTAAATCAATTATGACTCTTTCTAATTTGAGTAGGAAAGAAGTTATACAAAAGTATCCCGAAACCCAAAACTTTTACGCAATTTTGGCAGATAAGAAGTATAATTCAGATTTTCCTCCATTAAAAAAAGCTGCTAATCAATCAAAAATAAATTTTAATGATGAAATAAACAAAAGGATCACAAAAATTAAATACAGTAAAGTAGCTGCTCCTCGGATCAAATCTAATCATCCGGTTGCTAGTCCCATTACTATTACGCCTTCAGTTCCAGTGTATGAACAGCCATCCTTCTCTAAAGTGTCTGAGATGGAAAAAGCTATGTCAGCATTTACAAACCAAATGTCTCAACTACTCACCTCTTTAAACTGCGCGGAAGGTTTAGACATCCTAGAAACCTTCAGAAAAACAGTCTTATCTCGTACTGGAAAAAATATAAAAAAGATAAACAATGATCATGAAAACAGTGAAATCCCAATATCAAGCTCTTCCTTACAAAACTAAAACTATAAAAAGCATTCATGAACATCTTACAATATAATATACAGAGCCTTAATAAGAACAAGCATTACCTTGAATTTTATTTAAAGAAATTCAATATAGATATCTGTGTCTTAAGTGAAATTTTCAACATAGATGAATCTCAAAACAACACAAATATATATAATTATAATATAGTGTCAAAAAAGAGAACAGACAACTACGGTGGAGTTGCCATCCTTTTTAAAAAGAACATCAAGTTCAAAAAAATAAAATTTCAAACACCATTGGATATACTTATCTGCCAAACAACAAATATCTCAAACAATTTGACAATAGCGTCTGTATATTTCCCTCATTCCATTAAAGCCAGCGAAATAAAACATGAACTTGAAAAACTGCTATCATTTCTTGAATCACGATCCGATGTACTAATTTGCGGCGATTTTAATGCAAGACACACATTTTATGGCGATTCTTTTGACTCATATCGAGGTAACATCGTAAAAAGTTTCTTTGATCCATCTAACTTCTATCATCTCAATAATGGACATTTTACTTTTAAAAAACGTCTCAATGATAACACTGGTTCTGTGCTGGACCTGTCCTTCACAAACACGGCTTTAGTTACCACTTGGAAAGTACAACCGTACACTATTGGGGGTAGCCACCATTACCCCATAGTCATAAGTATTGGCAATAGTAAGGTCAAAAATCAAAAGTTTCTAGCTAAAAAGAAACTGTTAAAATCGCTCAATAATACCACTTTTACCGACTCATTTGATGAAATACACACAACTTTCAATGATGAAATTAAGAAATCTACGTACATCATAAATTCCAATAAATCACCCAAAGTGTGGTGGGATCCCATTGTGGAAAAAACACACAGACTTCAAGTTGCAGCACAAAAGACGTATGACATGTTCAACAACAACATCAACGCCTCAAATCTCATTAACGCAAAAAAAGCCTTCCAAAATGCTGTTAAATTTGCCAAAAACAAAGCATTCAAAACGAGAATTCATGATCTCAACAGGGAACCAAATTCAAAATCACTCTTTAAATTTGTTAGAGGATGCAAAAACTCTTCAACAACACTCTATCAAACCAAATGGTCCTCCGATAATGATAAACAATTCTTAATACATCTAAGGGACCAAGTCCCAAATAATTCCCCTATACTGCTCCCGCTTACCAGTTCCAATACACCGGACTCTTTTTCCTATGATGAATTTAACAATGTTCTAAACAAAAAGAAGAAACCATCTGCAGCAGGCACAGACGGGGTAACATATGAAATGATCAACAATTTGTCGGAAATGGCCAAAAAAAATTTGCTAAAAGCCATGAACAATGCGTGGAAAAAGTGCAATTTTATGATGGAATGGAGGAAAATCAAAATTGTTCCTATCCCAAAAAGAGGTAAAGACTTGGAAATCTTTACAAACTACAGGCCAATTGCATTGATATCGGTTTTCGCCAAAATTATTAACCTGATGGTGAAGGAAAGACTTCAGGATTTTCTAGACCAAAACAGAATTTATCCACAAAACACATATGCATATAGAAAAAACCTATCCGCCTCTATGTGCATAAACGATTTGTTACATACAATTAACTGTCAAAAAGAGCAAGGTGATAAAGTCATCATTGTATCATTAGACATCAACAAGGCGTATGAGTGTGTCAAAATAGAATTACTTTTCCGAATTTTAAATGAGCTCTCCTGTCCTAAAGAAATTTCTATGTGGATCATAAATTTTCTAAAACAAAGGACTCTAGTCATGAGCAAAGAAAGTCTGGAAATTTACAATGGTCTCCCTCAAGGCAGCTGTCTAAGTCCCACACTCTTTAATATATACACACTCGGTTTACATGGCATAAACAATCAACATACGAAAACATTTCAGTTTGCAGATGACTTTATAATTCTGTCAACACATAAAGATTTTAATATCGCCAATGATAAGCTTCAGATAAAAATGGATGAATTTTGTGGTCCTCTTAACAAGTTAAATCTTTCAGTCAACATCGATAAAACAGCGGTAATGTATATTGCTAAGGGTGCTAGAAAAATACCAAAAATTACACTCCAAGGGACTTTAATAAACGCAGTGGAAAAGATAAAATTTTTAGGAAGACACATCAAAAATAGTCTGACTATTAAAAATCATTACGATGAAGTAATCAAGTCTTGCAACACAACTTTAAATGCTCTAAAAATGATAAATTCTCTCAAAGGTGGAATTCATCCCAAAATATCAATAAATCTGGCAAAATCACTCCTCTTCTCTAAATTGGATTGGAATTGGAAAACTGAAAACATGTCAAAACCAAATTTTAAGGAAAAGCCTGGGATTAACGCCTTCAACACCTATTCATGTAATATACGCCTTGGCAATTGTTCTGCCTCCAGAATTTCGCTCGCAATACCATGCCGCCAAAGAGCTTCTAAAATTCAAAATATTTCAACAGGAAACATATCAAAAATTCACGTCAAACCCATCGAATAAATCTAGTCTTGGTATGATATACAACAAATTCAAAAACGTGTTTGACAATACTATGATATGTCCGTCCGAATCCCCAGGGGAGAAAGTTTCATTTGTTATGAACATGTTTAATGCCCCAAAACAATCACAAGCTAAAGAGTTCTTCAATAGCATATATCTTCAACATCTCAGCCAATTCAAATCAAATGGAACATCAGTTTGGGCAACCGATGCCTCGGTCATTGGCAACAAAACTGGCTGCGGAGTTTGCAACATTTCATCCAATGAAAACTTTCTTTTCAAAATAAACTCTAAATGTTCCTCCCTAATGGGTGAGCTTAACGCCATTAACAAAGCCGTTGACCTCATGATTGAAGACGGCATACAAAAAGCAGTAATCTTCACCGACAGTAAAAATGCCTGTTTGCTACTAAAGAACAACACATCACACAATTACTTAGTCAACATAATCAACAAAAAAGTTAACTCCTCAAACTTAAATCATCTTACCTTGGTGTGGGTCCCATCACACGTTGGAATCTCCTCAAATGAGCGTGCTGATTACTTTGCCAAGCAAGCCGCTGATGTTGGATGTGTTATTCCATCTAGTCTAGCTATCAAAGACGCCTGTTCGACAATTTACGATGCCCTATGGAATGAATGGGTTAACAAATACAGATTACTATCAATTTCAAAAGGCACTTACTTTGCCCAATTTTTTCCATCGCCTCCCAAAAGGCACTGGCATTCTGATTGGCACTTAGAACCTGGAGAAATAAAACTGATTAATCGCTTACTTGCTGGTCACACATACTCAAAAGTATACCTTCACCAAATAAAAGCAGCATACACAAATCTCTGTCCAGTTTGCAGTGTTCCTGAAACGGAAAATCATTCAATATTTATATGCAAGAAATATGACCACCTGAGAAGTGAATTCAATTTTTTCAACAATTACAACAACTTACCTGATCTTCTGAAAAACCTCACCAAAAATATTATCAACGAACTTTGCAACTTTACCCACTCAGCACATTTAGAATTGTAAACAAACCAATACGTCATCGCTATTCTCAAATCTTCAATCAATATATTCACAAAGTGAACCAACATGATTACTCATTTTGTAATACTCACATAACCAAAACAACCAGCCTTGGTACATAGGTACTACGGGTACCTATCCAACAATCAACCAAAATCCAAAAAAAAAAAAATAAAGAAATGATCAACTTAAAAACTGAAGGAAAAACTAATATCTGATCTAATCTGATTCCTCATTCAGCCAGTCCTCTTCACTGCTGGAATCATCCAAAAGTGAATACATCAGTTGCTCCATATTTTCTCCTTTTGTTTTTTGCACGACAAATATTAGTTTTTCCTTTAGTTTTCAAGTTGATCATTTTCTTTATTGAAATGTATCAATACATTTTTCAACCTTGTTAGCCCTGCCAATTAAATGTCAAATTCACAATTTGCACATTTCTGCTCGGCCAAATTCATGTAGCTAAAACAAGCAGAAATGTGCACCACTCAGCGCCATTTTTTTCTCGAGAGAGCTGCAAGTTTTGCTAGTTTTTGCAGTACGGGAACGCGTTGTAGCAGAATTAGTACTAATTAGTACTAATTTGTAGGTTCTGGAACACAACTTTATATTTGATCTGCATAAATTTTTACAATTTTTTACTATGATAGCCGATTTTCTCTTTGTGATTTCGAAAAAAAATGCATAATTGGTAGATTCTTGCAAATTCAGGTTTTAATATTACAAAGTCGGCATATAGAGTTTCAGACTTTGTAATATTGTTCTTAAAAAAAAAAAAAAAAAAAAAAACAATATGGTAGAATTAAGAAGGTAACCTCGTGCAAACATATACAGACGGCTCCATAATGGACGAAGGTACCGGTGATGGTATTATGCTCAAACCCATGGTAGAATCAAAAGGTTAAGTCATGCAATAATGTGTTCACACTTTTTTTTTTCAAAATTATTCATTTGACAACATCTCATTGTCAAAATTTATATTTACAAAACCATTGTATACACACAATTCAGAGATGGGAACCTTTTTTCTATGCGGTGAAATTTGAAAAGGTAAGTTACAGAAAATGCAGAGATGGGTATGCTTATTCGAAATGTCTTTACATTTTTAATTATACTATGCCCAAACACAATGATTAAGCACACATATAAGCTTAATGAAAATTGCAGAGTTTTAAGTCGAAGATTCTTAAATTCAATATTGCAGCGAAATGGTAAAAGAACTGGGACTACACCTTTTTCAGATATAGTTCGAAATATTATTATTGGAATTAGTGGCATTTTCATTTGTAATTTTTAATTGTATTTTCATTTGTAATTTGAAATTTGTAAAATTTCAGTTAAAAGTAGAGAATTCAATTTGTAATTCGAACCATTTCAATTGTAAATTGAAAGTTTAATTTGTAATTCTTAAATTTCATTTATAATTCGATTTTTTCTATTTCTTATTTGAATTATCCCTTTCGAAAATCGAATTATTTCACATGCAAATTGAATCATTTTTGTTTTTGTAATTCGAAAACGCAATTATGAAGCCAATGCAAAAATGTTTACCGATTTTGTTTGTTTCCAATTTCAAATGGAACAACCCAAATTACAAATGGAATAATTCGAATTACAATTAAAATATAAAGAATTACAATTTCCATTTTGAATTACATTTTAAATATTACGAATTACAAAAGAAATTCTCGAATTGACTTCCATTCCATTTTAAATGAAATCTCAATAACAGTTGGTCTGTTCCATGGGAAAATTAAGAAGGTAAAGTCATGCGATCATATGTTTACATTTTTTTCAAAATTAATTATTTGACATTTCATTGTCAAAATGTATATTTATAAATCCATTGTAAATACACAAATCGGAGATGGGAACTTGTATTTTTTTTTTTTTTTTTTTACTTCTACGTCGTCAAGTATGTTGGTGGTTAGAACACTTTCGTGCCCATTCACCATGACCGGTTATTGGTTACTTGAAAAGTATCAGTACTCTTTTATTTTCGTTTTCTTTTTGTTTACAGTATATGTGTGTTTACAGAATGTAGTGATATGAATGGAATACATAAGAAACTGTAAGCAAATATGATGATTATTTACAAATAAAAGTCAAACTTCAATTTTGCAAAGTGCAATAAAGTTGATTAATTCATCTATATTTTGTTGGTTTTTGGACATCAGGATTTCTGGTAAGTTATTAAATTTCTTGAACAAATCAAAATCATTCCTATGATTTTGATGCTTTTTGCAGAAAAAAATTATGTGTTTTTCATCTTCAATTTCGTTGCAGGTTTCACAAAGATTTGAGTCAGCAATTCCAATCCTGTGGAAATATTTTTTGGTGTAAGTATGACCAGTGAGCAATCGATTAACAATCTTTATGTTTTCAGGTTTCATGTTTGATGAAAAGAACCAGGGCTGTTTAGCAGGCGCCGGGAAGAATTGGTAGAAGTAAGTTCCTTTAGTCCGTGAGATGTCCTTGTAATTTTCTATAAACTCATTCCACAGGAGTGACTCAATGCGTTTCGACGCATCTGTGACCGACAGACAGAAGTTGATTGGTGAACCAACATTTGCTGCATGCTTCGCAAAATAATCGGCTGTTTCATTGATTGGTATACCGACATGGGAAGGTGTCCAAACAAACGAGATTTTAATTAAATGCGAATTAACTATTTTGTTTAGAATATTGTACACAGTGAAATTGTGAGATGTGTTGTTTTTAAGCAGAAGACAAGCATTTTTGCTGTCTGTAAATAAAGCAGCTGTGCTGACACCGTCTTCGATCATCAAATCAATTGCCTTTTCAATTGCACATAGTTCACCAGTAAGAGAAGAAAGTTTTTCATTAATTTTGAAAACAAAATTTTGATTAGCAGATATATTGCAGACAGCGCAGCCTGAGTTGTTGTTAAAAACAGCAGCATCCGTCGCCCAAATAGAAACGCCTTCGGATCTGAAGTCGTTAATTAATTCGTAGTAGTGTGCTTTGAAATATTCTGTTGGTGTATTGTTTTTGGTAGTGTTAAATATATCCAGCATGAAATATACCTTGTTGGTCGGATGTTGGTTGTAACCAATTTTGAGATTTTCAAAAATTGTGCGAAACTTTGTATAGACATATCCAAGACTAGTTTTTCTTGAGATATTTGAGGTGAAGTATTCATACAGAGAAGAGTTGTATATTTTAAGTCTTATCAATTCTTTAGCCGCCAAATGTTGAGCTCTTAAATCTGTTGGTAGCATACCAGCAAGAGCGTATACCACATGATTTGGAGTGGAAGGCACCAGTCCCAAATTTATTCTTAACAACTGATTTTGAAAGCTTGTTAGCTTCTTGTTATATACATTGATCTGTGAGCCATCGATGAGATTGCATATTCGGTCTTTGAAAAGATAAGTGATTTTGACAGGCGTATTCTGGGTCGTCGATGTCGCTGTTGTGGCCCACATGAATAGTAAATCAGAAAATGTCCTCATGTTTACCCTAAAAAACTGCTTTATAGTTCGATTCGGGCCGCTCTGAAGTTGTTCATTTTATGTTTTCTGTTTTTTTTTTTATAAATATTTTTTAAGCTTTTGTTTTAACTTCTTTGTTCGGTCGTCTATGTTTTGTTGATTTTTTTTTTATTTTTTGTTTTCTATGGTTTTTGGGAAGTGTCAATGCAGTAGAATCTATAAAAAAAATTAATAACACCAAAAGGATGCTCTTTCCATTACTTCTGGGACGGGGCATTTCCACTAGGATTTTTTTTATTTTTTTTTTTCAAAGATAACTTCCTATTTGCTTCGCCACATACATACAAGAGCAGACCAGGATATTTTGTGGCAATATCCTTTGGTTATTTTTGATAGTAATTTAAGTGTTTGATTCAATTGTATTGATGCTCAATGATTTAGATAATGCAGCTGAAGCCTAATTACAGGAAAAAAAAAAAGATATTAAAAAGGTAACAGCCATATTTTACTCGGAAGGATCAATTTTTAAGAATTTTTAAAAACCAAAATTTAGAAAAATTGTTAATTATTTAAAAATAATTTACCAGGATTTTCAGAAGTAGATTTTTTTGGGAATATTTTTTCACGTAGCACGTAATCCTTCAAAGGTGGTTTCCTATTTTTTTTTTTTATCTATTTTTTTTTTTGTTGAGAGCAAACGTGCCCAAGGCTTTAATACACCCTCCACAATATTTTCGCGATAATATTCGGCATTTATTTTGACGCCATGGTCAATTAATACGAGCGTAGGGCGACCATCGGCTGCTATGGCGGCCCACACCATTAGCATGGCCGGCGCTTGAGTTCTGGTGGCCAACCGAAGGTGCACATTTTCTGCTGACCTCTTTGGCAAGTAAACACGATCATTTTGTTTGTTTACAAATTTCGGGACAGCGAATGTTTTCTCATCGGAGAAAACCAAATTCGGCCGTTCACCACTTTCGGACAAGCGAGGCAACTCTTTAGCTATTTTGAATCTATTTTCATTTTTTTGCGGTGTAAGTTCTTGCACTTTTTGAAATTTCAATGGCTTTACACCGAGCTCATTTTTCAATATTTGCCAAATGGAATATTGCGATATGTTCAGCTCACGAGCCATTTTCGGCTACTGCGACGCGGGTTTCGATCAAGTCGCTTCCTTACTTTTCGAACAATTTCTGCTGAATTTGCTATTTTCTTCCGTCCACTTCCTTGACGTCGGGCTACGCGGTAACGAGTGATGGTACGAGACACAGACGATTTATTCACTTTTAAATTCTGGGTGGCTCTAACGATAGCCACTTATGATTTTCCAGCCAAATATAAAGAAATCAAGCAATCACGCTTGAATTCCATCCCGAATAACTTTTTTTCGGGAAAATTCTCACCAAAATGCTTCGGTACGCTTGTAAACAATATAATGATCTGTCACTGGAATAATTTTTAACAGCTGTCGGACGAGTGGCTTAGAAATGACAGCAGTCTGAAGTTGGTTGAAGTTTTTTCATCTCACCCTGTATAGTATACTAAATTCGATAAAGTAGTGTAGGAATATAACTGAAATTATTTGTCGTCTTATACGGGTCCCTGTGGATGGATGGAGATGGAGTCCTCGGAATATACAACATTTCGTACAGTGCGTGAGAATCATCAAAAATTGGAACCGAAAAAATAGATTTTTTTTTTAATATATTGAAAGATTACATTCTTTTCAAAAAAAAATAAATATTCTGAAATACCCTCCACAATGATTCAAAATCATTTCTCCCGTCTATTTCTCTTACATTTTAATGGTAATTTTCCATTAAAAGTTTGTGTGTGTGTGGTTGGCATTTTTGCCGAAAGAAAATTTTCCCCAACACGCACAACTAATCTAATAACGAGGCGTGCGTTTGTCTGTTTCACTCCCACCTCATAAATGAGTGGTAGTAGAGGAGAGAGGAAAAGTCCTGTTAACATTCTCGGGCATGTAGAAAATTTCCATGGCATGGAGAGAAATTGTCATGCCGACCACGACGACGTCGTCGACTTGGCTCTAAACTCTATTAACCGTAATGACATGAAAGCAAATTGCCTTGAAGTTTAGAGCAGCAAAGTTTTCTTCTTCTTCTTCTTTTTTGGTCTTCCTTGGTTTTGGGCCATGTTGTGGCGTTTTCAAGAACAAAGAATTGGAAAAAAGTGGGGAAATTATGATGGCTTTTGTGTCATATTCTCTACATTTTCAGTTTTTGGTGGTTTTAGCTGGAGACGACAGTCTGGTTTTGCAAGGGCCGGGAAGAATGGGATGTGGGTGAGTGGATAGAGCATGACAATGAAGGTTAAGGGATAAGGAGGGTGCTTGTTGTTAAGCAGCATTTAATAGATGTTTTAACTTCTCGTTATTGTTATGTATAGTTAATGGTCCGGTTGTATTATTAAATATGCCATAAGGACGAATAATTATTATTTGTCGAAAGATTAGAAATTCCAGTTGGGTCTGAAAATGTTATATTGAGAACTATTTAAATAAGATTTTTGGGGGTCAATTAGGAATTAAGTTTGATAATAATTTGAGAATTTTTTAACTTAAAAAATAGTTTAAAATATTTTTAAGGTCCTGAATAAAAAAAAATTAAAATAACTTAACGGCAGGATATTCCAAATCTGGATGTTTCCTCACCGCATATATGGAACTTGAATTAACAGGAATTTTGGTAACCATCCAGGTTCTGAAATAATTTTAAAATTTAGAAGAAATCGAATTTTTATTATCAAATCCGAGATATCCAAAAAGAAATATTGAAGTACAGCACCTTAGATTTTTTCCATAAAAATATCAATTTTTTTAATTCGAATCCAAAATCCCTCCATCGAATTTTGGGACCGTCCAGATTCTGAAATATCTTTAAGATTTAAGAAAAAAATCAAATTTTTACTATCAAATTCAAGACACCCAAAAAGAAATATTGAAGTGCAGAACCTTTGATTCTTTCCATAAAAATATCAAAGTCTTTAATTCAAATCCACAATCTCCTCATCAAACGTTCAAACTACTTCTGGCATCATTTATCATCCATTTGTATAATATTTTTCCCCATATTCGTCCCTCAAGTTGCCCTGTTTTCACCAATCAAAATTCATTGAGCAAAAAATTTGTTCACAAAAAAAAAAAAAAAATTCTTGGGAAGGAGGAGTGAAAAAAAATTCAACACACAAAAATTAAAAAAAAAAATAAAGGTAAAATGAAAATTGAGTCGATACCACATCTATTCGTTTCATTCCTTAGAGGGAAAAAATCGACGAGTTAACACCGAAAACTGGACACTTTCGAGGAAAGCAGTGGAATTTTATTTTTTTTTTTTAAGAGAACTACAACAGCCACAAATTCATGGATTTCAAGAATATTTTTGAAAGAATTATTTTTTTTTTTGGATTTGTCGGTTATTTTTTTCGTTTTTTTAATTTTTACAAAAAAAAATTCAAAGAATTAAAAAATGTGAATATTTTAGAAATATTTTCCGAAGAAGTTACTGAGTTCAAGATGTGTTATAAGTGACTCAACCGTATGTTATAGAAGGATCAGGCTGAAGTCCTCAAATTTGATATTAAGGTTCGTGATGGTATCTGGAATTGAGATGTGGAGGTGATTTTGGAAATGTGTCTTACATTTGTACGAAAAGTACTAAATGGTACTAAATTTGATATTGTGTCTGAAGGGATAGAGCTAAAATTCTGAATTTTAATATTGAGGTAATTGTTGGTCTCTAGGTTTTACATATGAAGACGTAGAAATAGTGTTGGACCGAAAAATTGTATGTGGGTCCATTGTGTAATGGCTTTGCTAATATCTTCCTCGGTAAACTTCAAAATGAAAGATTGTGAAGTACTTTTTGCTGTTTACCTATTAAACATTTTCCTACAATTCTTTCCGAAAAAGGAAAATCTTGAAAAATCAGACCTTATATTGAAAGAAATATTGTATTGTAAAAAAGTTGAAGATATCGGATGGTTATTCCGCATATTATGAGAGTTTTGGTTATTTATATTTTTGACCCCTCCTGGTAACATCCCTACGGAATCAGAAGGAGCTGACCGACCATTATCATCTTCCCACCAGATCTTGTGTTAGTGGAAATATTGGGATGTAACGATTTCGAAAGGAAGCGGATGATCATTTCTCGTTTTACGAACTTCATGATTATCAAAAATTTTGACCCGTTATGGGGGAGGTACCACAATTCCGCGGGATGAATTCCACTTTTTGGACCCGTGACCATTTTTAAAGCATTAACAGTATTTCTGCAGGATATCATCACCTCTTCGTAGTGCTCCTTGAGTGATAGACTGTTTTTAATATGTCTCCCTAAAAATTTGATGGACTTAACAACATTTACTTGGACTCCATTTAGTAAAATGTTGGGATTTCTCCCACCTCCTTTAGCCACGTACATTACTGAAGTTTTCTCAACATTGACGTCAAGGTTTAGTTTTTTTAATAAGGATACCATGTTATTGGTTTTGATTTGTAAAATATTGTTGGCACTATCAAAGTCATGGCTTGCCACAAGCATAATAAAATCATCCGCATATTGGAAAAAGTTTGTGTTTTCATCAGCTAAACCATGGAGGCCTATTGTGTATAGGTTGAATAGTGTTGGGCTTAAACAACTGCCTTGAGGGATCCCATTGTATATATTTAGGGTGGAGTTTCCCATACAAAGAGTCCTTTTGCAGAGAAAATTGATTATCCATAATCTTATTTGGAGTGGAATGTTTATTTCTATTAAAATCATCTTCAGGTAATTTATATCGACACACTCATAGTCTTTCGATACATCCATCGAGAGAACAATCACCTTGTCATTTTTTTCTTTGGAGGTGTTTATTGTGTGTAGTATGTCATTAATGCATGTTGAAGTTGACACATGTTTGCGGTATGCATAAGATCTAGGTGGAAGAATATTATGTTCATCTAGAAAATCATTGAGCCTTTGTTTGACCATGAGGTTTAAAATCATTGCCAGTACAGATATTAAAGCAATTGGCCGAAAATTTGTGCAGATGTCTAAATTTTTTCCTTTTTTCGGTATGGGAACAATTTTTATTCTCCTCCATTCTTCAAAAAACTCACAGTTTTTCCATTGATTATTAAAAGAATTCAAAAGGTGCTGCTTACTATCTTGGGATAGTTTATTAACCATTTCATAAGTGATTCCATCCAGACCAGCTGCAGATGGTTTAGTTTTTTGCTGTAGAACATTGTCTAGTTCTTCCATGGAGAAATTTGCAGATTGATTGTTATAAATTGAAATGGTTATAGTTTGTCTGTTGTTGGGAACATGTTCACTAAAATGACGTAAGAAGGCTTCGTTGTTGTCAGTGTTCCATTTAGAAGCAAATTGGGGTTCGAAAACCGATTTACAGCTCTTTACATAACGGAAAAGCGATTTTGAATTAGAGAATTGGCTTAAATCTGACAGTTTACGACGTTTGTCGCGATTTTTGACACATTTTACGGCTTTTTTGAATTTAGATATAGCGTTGATTGCACTTAGGGCATTTTCAGTGGTTTTGTATCTATCAAATTTCTGTTCTGCGGCCTCTTTTTGACGTAAGAGTATGGTAATGTCATTATTCCACCATGTTTGAAATTTTGTTTCAGCAGTAATGAGAAAAGTTGAATTTTTTATTGTTGATTTTAGCTTCGATTGAATATCATTCATATTGGAATCAATTTTTAGATTTGATAAGTTTTTGAAGAGATGTTTTTTTGCTAGGAAGTACTGTTGCTTTGATGTAAAATTATCTATGTTAATAAGGATTGGTCTGTGGTGGCTTCCTCCTATGCTTGTATTTTTTACATTCCAATTAAAGTTTGAAGACATATTTGTGAAGGTAAGATCTAACACAGAACCGAAAGAATTGTCAAATAGATTCTTTTTAAAGGTTGCTGAGCCATCATTAACACAACAAAATGCCGAACTGTCCATCAAGGTTTGCACAGTGGATCCTCGAACTGTGTCAAAAACGTCACCATATGCTTTACATCTTGCATTAAAATCCCCGCCAATAATGACATTTGATTTTCCATTTAGAAAGATTAAAAGTTTTGATACTTCAGTTTTTAAAACATTGGATTTTACAGAATGCGGAAAGTATACTGAGACAATCGTTAAATTTTGAGACAGGTTTGTAGTTTGACATATTAAGATGTCTAAATTCGACGCAAAAGGTAATTTTTTCATTTTAAATTTTTTTTTGTGCAGGATGGCAACGCCACCATAATTGTCGATTCTTTTTTTGCAGAATAATCCATAATTGTTTACGTAAGATGATGATGCATTTTCATCTACATTAAAAATTTCGCTTAAGATGCATATATCGACAGAAAATTTGTTTAAGTAAAGTTCTAGATAATTTTTATTTTTATTCAAACTTTGTATGTTGTGCTGTAAGATTATCATGTTCGGTTTGGTTAGAACTGGAAGGTCCATCTATTGCTGGTGCTTTTAAGGCATTTGAAAAACTGTCTAAGATCTGTAATCCTTCTGTACACTTGGCATTGGTTAATGCGGCAGCCATTTGTTGAGTGAAAGTGGATAATATTTTTTCATACTCAGAAACTTTGAAAAAATTTGAGAATTCAAAGGATGGTTTAGAGGGTACAATCGTTTCCTGTTCAGCTGTAATATGTGCTCTACGAGGTATTGATGCTGCTACTTCATTGTAATTGACTTTAGTTCTCCTTCTGTTGAGTTCATCATTGAAGGAAGTAACTGGTCTTCTGCTTGTTTTAGAAATTTGGGGAAATTGATTTTCATAATTTGGTTCATCTAAAATTTCAAAGTAATTGTTTGAAACTTTAGGGATACATTCTTTCCTTGAAAGGTTGGTGATTGCCATAGCCTCCAGAATATTTTTTTCATTACTGTATCTTTTGCATTTTTTGACATCCATGGCATTGTGATCTTCCATGTTGCATAGTATACATCTGGGTAGAGTACAGTATGTTTTGCATTTAATTGTCGACAAACATGTATCACATTTTGCCTTCTGTGCCCGCAAAGAAGGCATCTTTTTTGGCTCTACATTTTACGGCTATATGACCTAAACGACCGCAATTTGTACATAAGCGTACAAGTGGAATATATAAATCCGTCTCCACTATAGAGTTGAACATTTTAAGTTCTTTTACAACGTAGTCCGCTACAATACCTACTTTAATGGTTTGCGACGGCACATACTGACCATTTTCATTTTTGTATTTGAAACGATATACTGATACAGCTTTGAAATCATTGTCGCTGCTGTTGATTTGATCATATATCATTTTGCCAGTGAATTCTACTGGTACGGATTTAATAACATAAAATTTTTGTACAAATCTATCTGGGATAAAAGCATTCAAACCAATAGATTTTAAATTTGGATCCAAAACAAAATTATTTGCCGAGTTATAATTGTTGAAGCTCAGGCGGAAGGTTTTATATGCAATATTCTTTGATACAAAATGAGCATTTATGTTGGCACTGGCTAATTTGGCATACAAATGTAATTCTGAGTTCTTTCTTCTAGGGCAAATGGGCTCATCAGAAGTAAGAAGTACATAATATGGACCTGGATGGGCTGGGCTGTAAAGAATTGTTTGGTTTTCATAGTTATCATAGCTGTAAATATCTGTTTTGTTTGTGTTTTTGGGTATATTGGATGGATTGGAGGGATTGTTATTGTTGGAGTGACAGTTGTTAGTTGTGTTGGTGGAGATGGACTTTGTATCATTAAAATATTGATTTTCATATGGTGTGAGAGTGGTGTTTTCTTTTGCTGGTGATGTTTTTGCAGAGCACTGCGGCATTTTATTTTGCATAGAAGGCTGATTATTTTTAAACTTCTTGCTTCCAGGGTTGCTAAAAAGCTCAAATCTTTTCCTCGGGTCTAAACGAGGAGGCGGCTCCTCATCACCCATTTTCGCAGAAAATTGTATATTCTGTTGAAATTAGGAATATTAAATTTCAGGAAAATCACCAAATAAAATAATGTTTGTGTTATTGGTTAGATGGAAGGAATGTGTGTATTAGTGTTCAAAGCAAAACAAACAAAACGCATAAAAGAAAGCGAAACGGCGCGCACGTAGTCTAAAGTCAACGAGAGTTGAGGGTCCTGTATTCTATGCAGTAAAATCTGACAAGGTAAATTACAGAAAATGCAAAGATGGAAATGCTTATTTGAAATGATTTTACCTTCTTAACTTTACCATGGTCTGTTCCAGAACTGCAATGACGTAAAAATTTGTATTGCCATTACCGATTTTCCGTTATATTATCGAAAAAATTGCAAAACTAGTAGATTCTTGCAGTTACTGGAACAGAGCAAATCTCTGAAGGCATTTGGTTTCTTAAGGTGTAAGTACATAAACAGCTTGAAGTCTTCGCATGGCATATTTTGTGACATATCATAAAGGAATGCTAGAGTCGCATTCGAATTCTGCCGTCGTTTCCTTTTACTATTAGACATTAATATGCCTAGCCATGATGCCAAGCTGCTTATGTACCCTCACCTTTAAATTAGTTTTGCAAATATTTGCTCTCTTCCAGAACTACAAGAATGTAAAAGTTTTTTTTTTTCATATTGAAGAATTTTCACCAATTTGTTTACATTTTTACTAGTTTCCAGTTCCAAAACTTCTCAAAGTTGTACTAAGTATTAAGTTACACATCTTTCACTCGTTTTATTGTTAAAAAGCATTGAAAGCAAAAGATAGTTGCCTTTTCCGGAAGGGAGTTATTGTTATTAACATTACATTACGTGTCTTACTTTACTAACTAACTATAATGACATTTTTATAAATTCCAATTGGCAATGCGTTGTGTGATGAGGCAATGCCATTGTGGAATTTGACATTTGCTTGCCATCACTTGTGTTTTTGTTATTCATTTCGCAAGTTGTCAAAGGGGTCGGGTTTGTTCGTCGTCGGCGGCATCTGGTTGATGCAATAAATTAACACATTTTGCGTATATATAAAATAAATTATTTAATTACATAAACATATAAACGAAATATATATTAAAAATAATAAAATACGGAGAGATGAATGTTTGAAAAAAGAGAACAGTAGACAGAGTGCAGTATGCAATTTGTTGTTGTGTAATTAGAACGGGAGAATTACCAAAATTTGCCGGTTGTGGGTTCCAATTGAGTGTTCCTTTTCGGCTTGGTTTCTTATGGACATGGGAATTCTGGAGTAATGTTACGTGATTTGTGTTTTAAACACGATTGAGTAAAGCAAAACAAAACAGTCAAGAATCACAAAAACCCCTTGAGAAGGGTGGGGAGCACGTAAGACACACGCTTTGCTCCGGAGATTGCGCAGTACGTGCATGTTCCAATGTTTGTTGTGCGTCCGTCCGTCCATAGCCAGCCACTTGCCAGCAGCAGAAACACGCCACAGAGAACACACGAAGGCAGCCAACAAAAATATTTTGACATTAGTTGTGGATCTGCTTTTCGTTTTCCATTTGCACACAGAGTAGAGAAGAAATATCAGCCGTAGCCCATGGTAGTGAAGTGAATACTCGTACTCGAGAAGAAGAAAAATTAAAAGAAGAAAAACCAAGCAGCCAGCCTGCAGTCCACTGGCTTTAAAAAAAGAGAAAATTAATATAAAAAAAGATATAAGCCAGCCAAATATTGTTGAAAAAGTTTGTTTTTCTTTTGGAAAATATTGTGCAAAAAAGAATCATAGATGTGTTGAAGAAGAAAATCTGTGGAATATACTCCCCTTCTGGAGAAGAAGTGTATTATTGATTATTTAATAACATTTCGTGTGTGTGTGTGCGTGCGTGTGTGTCTCATTTTCATTGCGAAGGAAAACGGAGGAATTCTTAGGTTTTGAAGACGTAGTCGTCCTTAGGACCACCATCCATTAACCAGCAGCCATGGGTGAGACAACTCCCCATACACCAGCTCCTTCTCCAACAGAGGAGCATGCTGCTGCCATGGAAGCAGCAGCTGCGGCTGCCAGTTCCCAGCCAACCAATTTTAAGGTAATCATAATTGGAGCTGGCGTGGCTGGTCTGTCGGCTGCCAATCATCTTTTGCAAAATGGCTGTGACAGTTTTTGTATTTTGGAAGCCCGTGGACGTATTGGTGGTCGCATTGTTTCCATACCATTGGCCCAACAAAAGGTAAGTCATAACATATTCCAAACTTATGTAAGACAAAAAGAATGTTTGTTTTTATTCCTTTTTTTGCATTTTCTTCGTCTTCTTTTGGGGGTTATCTCCATCCAAAAAAACAAGCAAGGATGTTGCTTGGAGGAGGATGATGGGTGGACAAAAGAACGTACGCAAGCAGAAAGACAATATTTGGATAAATATGGAAGAAAAGAAATCAAAACAATAAATAGCTGGAGAATTTCTAATCTCTGGGCAATAACAAATTTATTTATTTTTTTTTTTTTTTTGGTTGCAATACAAGACCATTATCACGTACTATAAACCTAGCAACATATATTTGTTTATATGTGGGGTTAAGATAACATTGCAAATTATCTATATGGGTGACATAGGGAGATTTTGTTTTTTCATTGTGGTCATTGAAACATTTTAGGAATGCAGAAGAGATTTGCAGGCAGGTGTCTGCCGCTAAGAATGTGAAAGTATTTCAAATGCAAATTTCTTTTAACAACAAAGATATATTATTAAGCAATCTCTAACATCTATACTAATAGGTATGTTGTTATCTTAATTAAATTAATAGAATTGTTGTCATTTATATGATTTTTTTTTAGATTTTGTGTGGTTTCTTTTATGAAAAATTCTCTTTCATAAAATATTTGAGTTTTTTTTTTTTGCAAAACAATGCCTATCGGGATAAATTCCAGTGCACTAAATACAACACGAGGCCATGACATCATTATCAGCATTTTGCAGGAAATATATAAGGCCTTGCGACAAATTATTCAACATTTATTATCGATATGCCCACATACTTGAACAAGTAATAGTTAAATACTCTAAATTAAGCAAATAGACTCCAATATATCCCACCCACTGAAAATAATGACAGGCAAAATATTGATTTAACAAAATCTGCGAATTTGATAACAATTGTGGGAATAATTGTGGATGGTATATATCACACATATCATACGTCCAAAATGCGTTTTTAAATTAAAGATCTCCTTAGACGAAATCTATTTTAAAACATTTGGAATCGATCTACTTATGTCTTTCTGTTTGTGCGTCTTGATATTTGTTACCAAACTTAGAGCCAGCTGGGACATGTACAATATCGATACATTATTTTTTGTACCTCCTCCACAAAAGTATATAGTATATCTGATACAAAACGAAGCGATTACCCGAAACAGTCCAAACTTGCCTGTTTTAATATTTATGTCAAAGTTCGTTAAGGGGCGATCATGGACAATATTGAAGCTCTGCCTCTCACATATCCCCTCGATCAGCATAAAATTCTAAGATGATTTAGCGATTTCGGTCTGACCGTAATAACGCTATCTATCGAACGGATTGAGATAGAAGGCTAACATTTTGCACACATATGTGTATTTTGTTAGTAGCCAGGTTAAGTTCGTTAATGAGTTGTCTCGGTCCATGGTTACGTATAGTCCACATATAACAATACCTCCCGATTTTCGGTATTTTGACGACTTAGGTCTTATCTTATCAAAATAACGGTTTTAGACCCTAGGTCTCTTTGGACCAAATCCGTTTCAGAACATTTGCAGTCGATCTAGCGATGTCCGTTCGTCTGTCTGTCTGGTTGCTTGGCGCGCACAATAACTTTCGAAGGGAGTATCCGATTTGATCCAAACTTAGTACATCGTAATATTATCGTCAAACTTAGATCGAGTTCGCAGAAGGGCAATATCGGTCCTGTCCTTCTGGTACCTCCCACACAAAATGTCAGCATTTTCGAAGAACAGGGGTTCTTCACATCACTGCTTCACGACGACCCAAAAATGCTTACTTGTCGGAAGCAGATATCAAAGACAGCCTAGAAGCAACTTTGCTAAATTTTTTCGAGGTCGTCTCAGATTTGAATATAGCTCCACTAAGTCTGGACTAAATCGATTCAGATATAGATATAGCTTTCCCAATGGCATAATATTCACTCTGTAGCAATTATATTAGTTATGAAAAGTCGCATATAGCAGAAAAATTGGCTCCGATTTGTAGGAAGTGTTTGACTGCCTTCTGGAAAAATCAATATTTAATCGATAGCGCCCAGTTGTTGCTGTTGTAGCAGCTCATACATCTGTTCGGTTTCAATTTCCTGACTCCATTCAATCTGGTTCTTCCTCTAAGTTAAAAAGGATGCAACCTGTATGGGTTGTGTCCATAACGAGATTGGAGTTAGGTGAGTAGGCTTGGCTGGACAGCGAAATAAGTGCAGCGTGTCATATGGGCTTGTGCCACAAGCCGGACAGATGTTCGCTGTTAATCCGAGCCCAGTAGGAATTTAGGCGGCTGCACCATCCGGATCGTAATTGAGCCAACACTACTCGGGTTTGTCGGGGCAGCTTTCGTTCTTCAGCTGCGACGGGAGGGGGATGGGAGGGTCTCCTAGCACAGTATTCACTCTATATCCTTCCATGGCTTCTGAGACCGCATTAGAGTGAATACTATTCAGTCCCGCTTGATAGGCCTGTTGATCTAGAGGGTCTCTCTTATACCTCTGCACCTCTCTCTCTAGATCATGAAGGTCATGCCTGGGCGGAGGTTGCCTATCCACAAAATGGTGATTCGGGTGGCTTTGTCTATAACAACCAAGCAGGTATTGCATTGACAGCATTTTGTTATGCTGTCGCACCGGTAAGACCTTCGCCTCCTCATGTAGGTGATCGACAGGTGTCATGAGGAGGCACCCCGTTGCGGTTCTAAGGGCGGCATTCTGGCAGGACTGAATATACATGAATACATAGCGCCCAGTTGTGACGATTGGTGCAAAAGAGAGAGAGAATGAGAGAGAGTAGGGACGAAGTCTTGTTATAACGAGCTGCTGAGTGCAGATTGGAACAGAAAAATTAAAGACGGAACGACTAATAGCCTCTGGAGGTGCCAGCAATTACATTGAGGCTTTTATTTCTGGGTTTCATTATTTTGTGTCCTGAATTAAGATATAAGGCGTGAGGCGAGAAATGGAGAAGGGTATAATTAATTACAATGATTCTATAGGAATCAGGGATGTACGCAGGTTTTCCAGGTCCACTGGGAAATTGCCAATATTTTTTTTGTTTTTTGAATGAAAAAGTTAATTTTTTGTCAGTGGGGGACGACCCTGAAATGTAATTGTATGACATGAGATGCAATGTCTGTACGTATCTGACAGAAATAATAATTTCTTATTAATAATAAGACTCAAAAGTTTTAAATAAATAAAAAATTGCAAATTATTTTTTTTGTGAAACTTTGTTGCTTAGTTCTAGGTTTATCAGATCCGACTTTACAACATTGACGAGTTTTCAAATGAAATGCCACAACGTCGGGTACACAGAACCGCCTATCAGCTATTGTAATGCACATGCACCCAGCAGAATGCATTTAAGTTATGTATGCTTCCAAATAGGAAGGCCTTTTGGCGATATCAGATCAGAATTTATGTGAATTTATCAGATCAGAATTTGTAGTTCCACGCCTATCACACCGTCGAAATTTACCTTAAAGGCCTTATTATAGCGAAGATCTTCGTGAGTCTTATCTAATTTGTACAACTGTTGGATCTATTACCTTTACCTATTTTCGAGTCATCTGAACGGAAAGTGTTGACCGGAGGTCTATTTAATTCACTTGGAAGATAAATAGTGGATGTGTTAAAGTTAAGAACCTGTGCAATATAGTCGCTACTTTTGATTTTGTATAACCGGTATGGCTAACTACTTTCATTAAGCCTTACAAGTCCTGTAGCTGTAGGACAGGAAGATCTTTTAGAAGATCTTTTAGAGCAGAAAATTAAGGATTTAAACGTAAAAAGATTTGTATTTCCACGCCGACCATACCGCTGATATAAAGTTTAATTAATTGTAGCGAAGGTCTCAGTAGTTTTCATCCACTTTGTACTACTGTTGGATCTGTCACCCTTATCCATTTTCGAGTTATCTGAAGAAAAAGTGTTGACCGGAGGTCTATTTAATTGTCTCTGAAAGATAAATCTGGTTTGCGTAAAGATTGAGGACCTGTGCAATACCAACTAGCTTTTGACTCGGTACAACCGGTGGGACTCACTACTCTCAGGATGTCTTGTTACACTTATAGAGGCCTGAAATTGAAGAAATAGGTCCGGTAGCTATCAGATACATTAGAGTAGGAAATAAGTGTTTTAAGCGCACAACGATTTGTATTTCCACGCCTACCATATCGCTAAAATAAACTTTAAAGGCCATATTGTGGCGAAGATATCCGTAGGTTTCATCTATTCTGTACAACTGTCGGATATAGTCGTTAACGTTTGAATCGGTACAACTGGAATGACCCACTGATCCCATTAAACCTAGCTACAATTCAAGCGGCACAAAATTGAATTAATATCGCTTTAAAATCCGCCTGGGCTGTATTTGTTTCAAATTTCTATATTTATTATCAAGCACCTTTCACCAAACAGAGTATTCATAATATAAGACAGGACAGATTGCAGTCGTGTTAAAAACCATTAAAAATCGACGTTTCCCATTGTATTACATATATATCTCAGCTTGATATAAATAACATAACTTGTTATTGTTTTTATTCATTTTTTTGCCAAAAGATTACAAATGTTACCCACTTGCATATCACACAGTAAGTTTCCATTCATGCATTCTTCTCCATATGAGCTTGTGTGTTGAGGGCTTTTCATTTCAATTATTTCTTTCTTCGTTGTTTCTTCTTCTTCTCATTCTGATATATTAAATTTCTTTCTGCCAAGTTTCTTGAGTATCAGCTACACAAACTGCCAGTAAATGTTTCATAATTGCAATAATTATGGGTAGATGCTATTATGCGCGAGAGATATCGAATTCATCGATACGAAAAACAGAAAAAAAAACGGGGTAAAAGTGAAACACGATCAATCATGTTTTACATAGTTGGTAATTTAATTAGATTAGATTAATCACACTCTTGTTAACAACACCTCTAAATCGTAACGTTGGTTGTGTTACGCTTGTAGATGCTGAAATGGAAAA